TGTCTGGATTTTGTTTTAAAAGGCATAGTTGTTTGCAGCGCTACTGGTAAAATCCTGAGAAGTTTTGCATCATACATGGTACATGCATTCAGTAAACTCGCCTGCTTTGGGAGAACTTTGCCCTGACATACAGTTACAGCCTCTTTTTCTGGCCTGGATATGCTGCGCGTCCTATGCATGAAATCAGCAAGGCTTCGCTTAAACGACAAACGAGTTCGCAGTAGCAATGGGACCTGAACTGAAGCACACGACTGCTGGTGAACCATAGTGTCAGTTACTGGAAGCAGCTGAAGATCATTACTTTGATAAAGTGATTTGGTTGGTCGTGTAAGGCTCTCTTGGGAGCCATTTATACGACGGCCCGTGTTGCCAGCTCCGCTGCCACAGTCGCAATAGCGGGTTATCCATCTGGTCAGGTTGGCCGACACACGCCGTCGGAAGCCATGCACTGTGACGAGGAGGACGAAGAAGCGGATGCCGTTGTTTGTGAAGGTTGCCAAAAAGAGACAATCATAAAGCAGACGACCCTTCGACGTCGAGTGCCAACTCTCTGCCATCTGAGGCAGGATAACTTGAGCGTATAGATAACCCGGCAGATTGACAACAAAATGGAGTACGCTGAGCGTGATGAGTGTCTTGAAGATGAAGAGGTGCCCACCGGACAGATGTGTTTCGGTGTTGAACATCAGCGGAGTTCCGGGCGTAATCATGGGTGCCTGTGTAGGTTCATAGAGCCGAAAAAGAACATTCGATTTTAAGTGTAGACTGACGAATAAACCAAACTGGCACGGTACTCTTAACTTTCCCTGCAGGCTTATTGGATTTGACCGACTCGCATTTAATGCATATCAAAATATAGAAATGACCTGACTAAAAAGTATGGATAAACTTCATTTTGGGATATCTATCATTTCGTTTGAGAAGGTGGGTAGAAGGAATTTGTAGACTGACACCACTGGATATCGAAGGAGGGTTGCCTTGGACTTTTGTCTGTTCAAATGTGCGAAGTAGACCCCGGCACACCGTCCTGCGACCTCGATGACTCCGTGCTGGTCGTTCGTCCGTCATATAATGGACATCGTCAGAGCAAGAAACCATTATTCACGAAAAATCACCAAAAAACGCTAAACCTTTCTTGGTAGAAATTTCAACACTGAGTCATCAAGGTCGTAGAACCGTGAGCCGAGGTCTTCTTTGCACAATTCAACAGACAAAAGTCCAAGGCAATACCTATTCGGTATCTGGTGCGGCCTATCTACGAATCCTTTCCACTCGCCTTCTCAGACGAGACGACAGTTATGCCAGTATCAATCTAGTAAGGGATTCATCAAAACCCAGCTTCACTTTATATCTCAGAATCTGCATTCTATTTGCTTTGTATGGGAGCTTTATAATGATAAATAAGATATTAAGAAATAAATAAACTTAATAAAATAGAAACTAAATAAATAGATTATTCAGAAATAGATTTTTATTACCGATATTGCAAGACAGATGACATAAAGTAAACAATTAGTTCACAGGACATTCGCAGCTGGGAAAACGGCAGGGGGGCATATCATACGATGTGAAAACAGATTTGCATACTTTGGTCACCTGAAAGCAATAGATAGGTTTTCGTAGGTGCTTTAGTGAAGAAATTGTGCCCAAAAATGTTTTGAATTCAGGGCAATGGATAATATGAAAACATGCTCCATTTTTTAGTTATAACAAGAGCAGACTTTCGAAACTAAGGGATGAACGAGGAGAAATACTAATTCAGTCTAGGCGATAATAGTTCAACAAGTGTTCTCCCTTAGATAAATGTGTCACAATTCAGAGGTCTGTCATTAACTTTCGGTCCTCTGTTGTTGGCACATTTGTCCTTTAGCTCTTATTCGTCGTCTTAACTCACAAAGTTTACGCTACAAAACGAGAATTGTTTATACAATCGAGTTTGTTCATAATCTAGGCAAAACCCGGCTCGTTTAATAGGACGCAAAATCATACTACTACTGCATACTACCTTTTCAACGTCATTGGGCAGCTACGTGAGCGAATCCTACGATTGTGCTAGCCAGTCGAATCACAGGGATCTTATTGCATTAGGCTGGCTTCATCTAGTATCTCACAGGTTATGCTTGGTGGAAAAGAGAATTCTTCAAGTTGTGGACAAACCTGGGAGCGATCCCGTGTAGGGAGGAATGCGAGCGTGGAGGTTATGACAGCTGAGTTATCAGAGTTATCTATGACGTGTAATAAGGCAAATTAGGAGGCTTGGCGCTGAGGCTAAAATTGATTCATATTGTTGGCTTAATCTTGTTTTCGCAACTTGTTCGGAGCGACACTGACTTCCTGTGGAGCGTACCTAATCCTACGTCCCCTGTCACAGTATTCATGATAATTTCCAGCATCGGAGCGCTGATTTGGTACATTGTCAGACATTTCATCGGCATCATCAGTGAGAAACGCCATTGTTAGCACAGAGTTACAATCTATCAAGATGACAATTAAAGGTAAACCCCTTGGAAAATTTTATATTCAACCTCCAAGGTTACATCTATTTCTTT